AAGAGGTGAGGCTGACTGGCCTGTGGTTCCCTGAGTCCTCCTTCTTGCCCTTTTTGAAAATTGGAGTGATGTTTGCTTTCTTCCAGTCCTCAGACACCTCTCCTGATTGCCATGACCTTTCAAAGATGATCGAGAGTGGCTTAGCAATGATGTCCACCAGCTCCCTTAGCACTCGTGGCTGCATCCCATCAGATCCCATGTACTTGTGGGTGTCAAGTTTGTCTAAATGATCTCTAACCTGATCCTCCTCCACCAAGGGACAGTCTTCCTTTCTCCAGACTTTCTCCTTGGCCTCCTTGGTTAGGGATTCCTGAGGGCTGGCCTTAGCAGTGAAGACTGAAGCAAAGAAGGAATTCAGTATCTCTGCCTCCTCTTCCTTGCAAATAAACATCTGAAGCTTTGCAAGACTTTTCCCCGACAGGCTTCTAAAAAGCCTATAATAATTTATTTTTTTTAAGTGAAAAGTACTAAATTTTTAACTTCTGACAGTTTCTAAGAATCACAGTGTTTGCATTCTTTTCTTCCTCTTCAGTTTTTAATGTTTCTGACACTTCTGTGCTTGTTTGGTGTAGTTTTTGTATCGCATTATTTTAATTCATTGGCTATCTGGCATGATTGATTGTTTTAGTGAAGTTCTTTCCAGATCAGTTTTTGGGAGTGCTATATTTTTTATGGAACAGGTTCCTCAGACACTCCTGTTTTCCATCTCATGTTAGAGGATCAACAATGTTTGAACTGGTGCATTTTGAAAGGAAATAGCATGGTAACTAATCAAGGTGCTTGTAATATAAATATTGTGGTGTTTATTGGCTATCATCTCATAAAGGCTTGATCAGTAAACTGACTGAGTTACATGGGGAGGAGGCTTCTAAACTTTTAGATACAAATTACCCTTCAATGGTCAACAGTGGTGCTTTGCATGTAACTTCAAGCCACATCATTGTCGATTGCTGTGTAGTTACATAATGCCGAGCCCACAACTTAGTCCAGGTAGACAACTTATGTTGTCTCCCTGGACTTGAGCAAGGCTTTGGACACTGTCTCCCATCACATCCTCCCAGGTAAGCTCAGGAAGTGTGGGCTAGATGAGTGGACGGTGAGGTGGCTTGAGAACTGGCTGGATGGCCGAGCGCAGAGGGTTGTGGTGAATGGCGCAGAGTCAAGTTGGAGGCCTGTGGCTAGTGGTGTCCCCCAGGGGTCAGTCCTGGGTCCAGTCTTGTTCAACATATTCCTCAATGACCTGGATGAAGGCCCAGAGTGCACCCTCAGCAAGTTTGCTGATGATCCTAAACTGGGGGGAGAGGCTAACACACCAGAAGTCTGTGCTGCCATTCAGAGGGACCTGGAGAGGCTGGAGAGGTGGGCCGAGAGGAACCTCCTGAAGTTCAACAAAGGCAAGTGCAAGGTCCTGCACCTAGGCAGGAATAATCCCATGCACCAGGACAGGCTGGGGGTTGACCTGCAGGAAAGTAGCTCTGCCGAGAAGGACCTGGGAGTGCTGGTGGACAACAAGTTAAACACGAGGCAGCAGTGTGCCCTTGTGGTCAAGAAGGCCAATGGTCTCCTGGGGTGCATTAGGCAGAGTGTTGCCAGCAGGACGAGGGAGGTGATCCTGCGCCTCTCCTCAGCCCTGGGGAGGCCTCACCTGCAGTCCTGTGTCCAGTTCTGGGCTCCCCAGGACAAGAGAGACATGGCACTAAAGTGCTATTATTGTAAACTCATTCCTCTAAGTAAACTCATTTTGTGCGGTTGCCCCTCAAGGCAGACCTGGCAAAAGCAATATTGCCTCTAAGCAAATATCAACATAATAGGTATTTTTTATATTTTAAGGTGGCTGGTGCAGAACTCTCTCTTTTATTGCATGCAACAAAAAGAAGACTGAGAGGCGAGCTCATCAACGTGTATAAGTATCTGAAGGGGGGGTGTCAAGAGGATGAGGCCAGCCTCTTCTCCGTGGTGCCCAGCAACAGGACAAGAGGCAACGGGCAGAAACTGAACCACAGGAAGTTCCATCTGAACCTGAGAAAGAACTTCTTCCCTGTGAGGGTGACAGAGCATTGGACCAGGTTGCCCAGAGAGGTGGTGGAGTCTCCTTCGCTGGAGATATTCAAAAGCCGTCTGGATGTGATCCTGGGCAATATGCTCTAGGTGACCCTGCTTGAGCAGGGAGGTTGGACTAGATGATCTCCAGAGGTCCCTTCCAACCTAAACGATTCTGTAACTCTCACAAAGCTGGGACCTGTGAACAGTTTAGGATCTTCATTCACAAAGTAAGATTTAAGAGGACTTAAGTGGACTAAGCCTAAAACTATGACTTGAACCCTCACATGCAACTGTTGACACCCCTGGGACTGAGGCAACTTCCACGAGGCTCCCCTCTGTTGGGGGTAGAAGCTCACCTTTCCCCTTCTGCACCTTCAGGAAGAGCCAAAAGTGAGTATCTTGGTACTGCTCTGCCTCCCCGACCCTTGAATCAAGAACTGAGGTGCTGCTGGTCCCCCAAAGGATGCAGGCTGAGACACGCTCTCAAAGCTATGTTGGTCTTGCAAGCACCGGGGTCCTTTGTTGTTTGAAGCCTGTCACTTTGGGACCCACACTTTCTCCTGGTAGAAAAAAGATGTCAGGGTGCCGTGGGAGACAATGGCTCCTTGCGGGCCTGGAGCCAAGGGGGCCATGTTGGCAGGGCAGGGCCTTGTAGCCAGGGC